TGTACACAAATCACAACCCTTTGGCATTTTGGGAAAGATTTAAAGATGAGAACACCACACTATTTCTTTAGGAGTCTTATTTTACCAGTATTTAATTTACAGATTATACGTTTTCCGCATCATGAAAATGTTATTGTGGATGCATTATCTCAAGTTTAAAAGGAAAATGTGTGTAAGATAGAAACAGTAATGTTCAATGTTGTATATATGTTGTATATATTAGTATGAGATGTATAACTCTCGATTAATGAGATATAGATGTAGTAATAATGGCATTAAGATTCAGAAAATAAAAACAATAAAGCCATCTTTTTATGATAGTTCAATTTTCCTAAGGAGGTGTGTTGCAAAGGTGCATAGAGTACTTGTGGATTGGAAGGCAGGACATTAGAATTTGTTTGTAAAATGAGAGGGGGAGGGGCAGCCTGCATGGTCATTTTAAAAGATAATGTGCTTTTTCTGGGCTTGGAGATTTTTAAAAATGTCTGCGAGCAGTAGCAGGTACAAAGAGTTCCTGAAATTGTAACACTTGTATCAAAAAGCTGTGTGGTTAGCAACCCAGGCAGTAGTCTTGTTTTGTTATTAAGGCAACCAGTTTGTATCAGCCGATTAGTTTAAACCAGTCATTTGGAGACTAAAAACCAATTAAATTTAAATCTGATGGTTTTGACAACCTAGGATCAATCCTTTTGTAAGAAATTGATAGGTCATCAAGGGTATAAAAAAGGGTTTTGAAAATTTGTATGCGAGCAACTGCCATCTGTTAGAGTTAACAACCAGCAGCCCTAAAGAGAAAATCACTGGCTCTCACAGAATTCTCTACGTTCTCAGAAAACCATCACTTGACTAAAGGTACAGCAACACTCTTAGCTAATATTCCTGACACAAGAATTTAACAGAGAAAGGTGCTCCTGACTAAAGAACAGTGGAGAAGAAACAGAACATTCCAGAAGACATACCCTGGCTGTAATTTCGAGAGACTAAATTTTAAGTGGTTTTGTCTATTAATTTGTTTTATATAAGTGGGACTTATATTTATTGGAGCAGCATACCATTAGAATTTTGTTTTATTTGGGAATAGTTAATAGTTGAGGGGGAACTGTTCGGTTTGTTAGTAGTTCTGTTAATTTGTTCTCTGTTCGAGTTAGATAAATAAACTGTTATTCGTTGATTATAGAGTGACTGTCAGGAGTTAATTTCATTTAACCTTGCCTTCATAACAGCTTGAGGGTGAGAGGCAGGTTATACCACTTTTCATACTTCTTTTAACACATGATAGAGCAGGGTGAGCCTCTCTGGGTGTTTCAGTTTTAGTTAACAGAGGGAGTTCAACCTCCACAACAGTAAGTAACAATAACACTCATATTGCTCGCTGTTATTACATGCAACTTCTGGGCAAGAGCCATTGCATGAAATTCAAAAGGTTGCTGTTGGACATTCTTCTATTGTAGTGTTTTGAAATCAGCATCTTGCTCTCTCGTTCCCAATTTAAATACATTACGTCAATGCATTAATGCACTTGCAGGATAGAAACCAAGTAAGTTGCCACAGGAAGATATGCCTGTCCATTTCAGTCTGAGTGCCCTTATAACTGTGTGATAAGTTCTAATCACTGCTTGTCGACCTACCATTAGCTATTTAGTGGTGATTAGCTGTTACGAGTGTGCAGTCTTATTGCTTTAGGTTCTAGTGTTTATTATGGAAATTTAAAAAAAAAGTCACCCTACCTTTTTATTCTCTCTCCCAGTGCAATCTTTAATTCCATTTCTTCCTTTCTCTGGTTTAACATTGCATTCACGTATTCTAACTTAAACCTGCCTAAACCAATCTTGCTGTCTTCATTTTATAATCCTTCAATCTGATTCAGTAAAGTGTATCTCATTCAGATCTCAGGCACCATGCAATGATGATTGTGTTGGTTCCACCTCATTCTCCCAGTAACTTGTGAGGCATCACATAGAGTAAAGAGGCAAGGGCAATTCTAATTAACAGCCTACTTTAGGCTGACTGCAATAGCCTTTGAGATGTCACATCATTCAGAAGAGGTGAACATAGAATTGGCCACATTGGGACTTTGGATCTCTTCATTAACAGTGTTTCTGAAAATTACCCTCTTGTAGAACCACCAGACCACACCACCCCCCCAGTCAAGCCCCACCCTTATCTTTTTATCATTCAAATCCCCGCAGGGAAAGATTTTTTTTATTTCACTCTTACTGTGAATTATTGCAAGTTTTATGTTTAGATCCTTCTCTGGCCTCACTATTCCCTATCTCCAAAACTTCTTGTACCCCTCAGTCCACTGAAATCTCTACATTGCTTCAATTTTGGTCTCTAACACATCCTAATTTCCTTTGCCCCAAATGTTGCCAGCCAAGTTTTGGAAATCCCTGCTCCGACCTCTCCAGTTCTTAACCTCATCCTCTTCCTTTAAGGTTTTGAACAACTATCCAAATATCTGCAGATGATGCTGTGTCTAAAATATTTGATAAAAATTCTGTATTGAGCCATGGATCACTTCACTCCACTAGCAAAATGTTATGGGAAGCTACACAATTGTAAGTTCATGTGTTATGGGGCAATGGTCAGAATAAACTGGACAGATCTCACTCTGGCCCAATTCATGTACAACAGCAAGGACTTTCCACTACATTACTCTGAGGAATATTGCTGGTAAAGGGCAATTTGCTTAATTAATACAGTGCTGCTATTAGAATTAGAATCAGGTTTATTGTCACATGTATTAAAGTATAGAAGCACAGGAGTACAGTGAAAAGTTTACAATGTTGCCTCTCACAGCACCATCCTAGGTACAAAACGAATCTTGGAAACAGAATAGAGAAATAAAGAAGATAAAAGGTGCATTATCTTAGTGATTCATAGTATAAGAAAATAAGAAATAAAGTTGAAAGGATAAGCATTAAGATCAGATAAACAGATTACAGGTAGACAGTAGATCAGCATAGGGGGCTTCCACACGTTTTCTGACCAGGCTTGCAAGCTGCTGACTGTTCTCACCAGTCCCCAATCCAACAACCGTCCCCACTCCATTCCATGCCTCGAGCCCATTCCGCTCCAGGCATCCAGCATGTTCTGTTCCACGCTAGGCTGCCAGCTCAATCCACTCTGGCCTTCACCTGCTCTGGCCCTTAGTTATTCTGCTGCGGACCTCCAGCCCACTCCCATCCACTGCATCCCTCAACCTCTATTTTGGTCCCAAGCCACTCCAAGGTAAGGTTTTTTTTTTAAAATTAAAAAAAACTTTACATTTCTTTCTTTTAAAAAGAGAGAGAGGAAGATAAAGAAAAAAGAATAAGTGGATAGATGAATGAGTCCCAGGCTGAGGAGCCCAGAAGCTGCCTACTCTGCCTCCACCATCTTGAAATGAGATTTGGTTTGATTAGGTTTGGTAATTGTATTGATAATTCTCATATTTATTGAAGTGCATTTACATGCACATGGAAAAACCTTTTTGCATTCCCAGCTCCCAGATGCGACCCTCAGCTGTAGAGTTAAGCCGAATTCTCACTGTCGTGGGTTCCCGAATCAATATGAACATGACTGGAAAGGCGAACGCAGACGTGAATGGTTCTTCACCCAGCAAAAAGGATCCCAAGAGGTAATTATCCATAACAATGCCTGCTTTGATTCAAAATACAGGGCCTGTAATCATCCAAGGACGCCATTCTTATGGAGGAAGATATTGGCCCAATGGCAATACGTTGGATCACTAATCCAGAGGCCCAGTATAACACTCTGGTAACACAGGTTCATATTCAATGAATTAATAAATTTGGAACATAAAGTTAGTCTCAGTAATGGTGACCATTGTAAACTAGTAGTGATTGGTGTAAATAGCCATCTGGTTCACTATTGCTTTTTAGGGAAGAAAGTTTGCCATCCACTCCTGATCCACAGCAAAGTGGTTAACTCTTAACTGCTCTCTGAAATGGCCAAGCAAGCCACTCAATTCAAGGGCAATTAGGGACGTGCTATAAATGCTATCTTTGGCTGTGACAGCCGAAGCTGTGGAGGTATTTTCGAAAAAAAACCTCTCAGTGCCCAACCAAGCGGATTTGAATATTAAATAAGGAAGGGAAAAATCATTGAAAATTGGCACCATTCAGACCTTTCAAGCCTGCTCTGCCATTCAACAAGACCACGGCTACAGTGGCCTTCACGTCACTTTCTCAATCAAAGTCTGTCCATCTCAGCCTTGGATATATTCAATAGATAGTGAAAGAAAAAAAGAATCAAAACATGAAGAGTAACAAGTCCTGACTCATGTGACCTACACAGAGACATTATTCTCTAAATATTAAGCCGAGCTCTGCTCTGAAATGGTAATGTCCTTTGCTTTTAAATAAATGAATACTATTCAGTGATCCAATGCTCTTTTATCAATGGAGCCCTCCTTGAGCAACAAGTGAGCCGCTGATAGGCTATAGAATTCTAGTTTCCATTCTGCAACCTGTACTCCACATCAGCACAGCTCTCTACTCTGAGGATGGATTGGAAGGGACACTTGTTTTGATTCTAATTTAATCAACTGTATTGGAAGAGGAAAGAGAACATTTTGCTTTTATTGTGGACCAATATGTGAAAAATATTGTTTAAGGACAATGTCTTCAGCCTCTTGGAAAATGTTTGACTTAATTATGACTAATCAAAATCTCTTATAAACAAAAGAGTGATCTTAGTCACATTGGGAACTTAGTGTTTCTTCAGAGCCTTGCAATCACTATTATTTTCTTACATCTATTGATGATTCAGCTGTGACATAAGGCAGCAATAAAAAGCATTTTGCAACATCGTAATTGAAAGCACACGAGAAAATGGTCAGGATTACAACGTCTTTCATGGAATATATCAACCTACAGGTTGCTCAGGTTTGCTAAGCGAGATACATATAAAGCGAATCGTAATTAGATTTTGTTAGAAACTTTGCAACTCATGTCCTGTTGCCAGTATTTAAAATCTCATTTCTCTGTTCATTCTAGAATTACTCTGTGCTGAACCTGGGGCCGGCCTCTTCAGTTATTACCATAAACAATTCTATGTACTGGCAGGACTTTGAGGAAGCCTGTGTATATGAATGCCTGGATGGTAAAGACTGCCAGAGCTTCTTCTGCTGTTACAAAGAATGTAAATCAGGCTCATGGCGCAAAGGACGGATTCACGTAGACATTTTGAAATTAGACACATATTCACGTGTGTTTTTTCCAACAACATTTTTGCTATTTAATCTTGTCTACTGGGTTGGATACCTTTACCTTTAAGCTTCTGCCTGTAGCAGTGAAGACTTCTCTTCGTCGACACTTGTCCTGTAACTTTGATATGTATCTCTGGATGTTGTCAGAAAAGTGAAACTACCCAGGATGAAGTAACAGCTTTGGTTCTTTCGTTTCCATTTCTTTAATATATTTAAAAGAACTACAAATTCAAAACAAAATGATGGAAGGAAGAAGGTGTGGAAAGTGTACATAAGCTGGCGAGGCTTCTCTCCAAGGTCATCAGTTGAAATATTTTTGAAAAACTTGAAGAGAATGGACCAATTTATTTGACTCCACAAACTTGTATTCTTGGTTTTGCAACCAGCAGCAATTTTAGAGTAACTATTCACAGATTTGTCGGATAGTCAGAAATGCCTGGATTATTAAATAGTTGCATGAAGAAAAGTGAAGAGTTAGCTAACAGCAAACTAGACTGAAGCATATTACTCTTACAGAGCTAATTAGAATCAATTAAGGCATTTCTGGCCATAGAAACCCAAGATTTTTTTTTAATCTTTCCAAATTAAAAGCGACTCATGTGAACACATTTGTATTTGACAAGATGGACTGAATCCAGAGGTATAGATAAGTTTTTTTGGAATGAAAGAAAAGTTTTCTTTGAAAAAATAACTAAGAGTGTTTGTGTATGCTATGTCTTTTCATTAATTGAAATTTCAAAACAGTGTTGGGTGAACAAAGTGTTAGACTGTTTGGAAAATTATTCAGCACGTCATATTTTTATGTGGGGTTTCTTTGGTAATATGATGTTAGAGGTGACTGAGATAAACTAGCTGAAAACATTGATGAAACATTAGGTGGTGCATTCTCCATTCATTCTTCCTTAAAAATGATCACAATTCTATTTAGCCCTTTGAGGACTGGAGTTAACATTTGTTTGACCAAATTAAATAAACAACACCAAGTCTAAGTTTGATACTTTGGTTAATTCCCATTTACAAGCTTTCCCATAGGGACATCTTACCATGGCTGTAATACCCAGGAGAGCAAAGGGACTCTTCCCATATGATGGAAGTGTGTCTTTTGGTGTGTCAAATGGGTGGCATTAATGGCACCTACGGACCATTCCATGGATTCAAACAGGTCAGTTGAAAGCAGGAAAGAAAGTATCAAGTGTAGCCTCCTTGTATAGAGTCACTGCTATGAACATGACTGTCATTAATATGGTCAACATATTGGCCATCAACTTTGTATGAGCCATTATCACTTGGAAGAAATACGCACAGTAGGGCCTGATGTTGATTCCACGATAAACAAAGTCATTGAAGTGGATCAAAAATCAGTGATATTAAATAAAAGTGAAACTGGTTGAAAAAACTGGGTGGGAATATGATGTCAATAACAGAATGGTAGTGTGCAAGCTAACATGAATGAAAATTGGCCACTTTCTTCAATGATCTGATTGTTTCTTACATGTGATGTACTGTTCAACCATTTAATCTCAGAGGACCGCCTGAATTTAGTGGACAGTAGCGACAAAAGGGTATTTACTGCTGAATTTCTTTTACAGTGGAAGTTGGTTGTCATATGGATATTGAGGTCCAAAAAGCAAAGCTTATTTGTAGCTGGTTCGTCTTACAGTTGGACCACGTCAAACGAAAACACCTATTTTTAACCAGCAAAATGATGATTTAAATAAGGATTTATCTCTGTTGGGAACCAAGAGATCCCTGCCATATAAGCAAATTTGCAGTTTGCTGAACCATGTTATAACAGACCTCCACTGTACTTGCACTGGAAGGTTCACTAGTCTGGTTCCTAGGATGAAGGGGTTGTCTTCTGAGACAATGTAAGTAGATTTTGTCTAAACTCTTGAAAATTAAGAAGAATGAGAGCAGATCTTATTGAAATATGTTCTGAAGGGGTTTGATGCAGGGTAGATCCTGAGAGGACGTGGTGGAATTTAGAACTATGAGTCAAAATTGTGAAAATAAAGGGTCTCCAATTAAAAAACTGAAATGGGGAGATTGTTCTCTCGCTAAGTCTATAGAATTCACTCCTCCAACAAGCAGTGAAGTCTAGATCAAAAACAAAGTTGCTGGAAAAGCTCAGCAGGTCTGGCAGCATCTGTGAAGGA